TCCTTGGGTCAGGTGTCAGCCAGGTTACCCGAGCTTCTTAACCCTTTACAGGTAAAAGGATTTGGAGTCTCTGTACACAGAGAGCTGTTACCCTTCCCTTTATAGTTATGACAATAATATAAATAAAAAAACTCAGTCTCCTCTCTATCTTGGTGTTTCTTCTCTCCAGTGACGCTGAGTTCCTGGCCCACCTTCAGCCATGAAGATCATTTACCTGCTCTTTGCTGTTGTCTTTCTGGTGCTCCAGGGTGTGCCAGGTAAGAAGTAAATGAAAACAAGGGATAATAAAGAGGGATATATGGGAGCCTATACTAAGATTTTCTAACCATTTCTATTAGAAACATGTTTCTGACTTTTTTCTTACGAGTTCTAGCATGTCTTCAGTTTGCAGACGATACATGACATTTGAGAGGAATTATTCTGAGGTCAGGGAGGTGTCTTTGCTGCCCCCAGTAAAACTCCCTGAGATTTGACTGAATTATGACCACTGGGGGAAAAAAATTCCATAATGTTTTCCTCAGATCTTTCTGAGGCTTGCTGCTTAAATCACTCCACGATCTACCCACACACCACGTACTCTTCCTCAAACAGGGAATCACAGAATTGAAGAACCGGATGGGATACAGACAAAATGAACTCATGCCAACTCCGTTCAATATGCTTTTGGTCTAGGAGAAGGTGCACAGGGCTGGGAGGTGGAAGGCTGTAACTTAAGATGTAATGTCTGCTGCTCACTAGGGTTAGTCGTTCTGTGCCTTTCGCAGTCCGTATTATAAAGTCAGGCCTCATGTCCCACTGAGAGGTTACAGAGCTGGGAACAGAACCCGGGTCTATAAAATGGCAGTTTCTCAGCTCAGTGTCTTAACCCCACTCACTCTCAGAACCTGTCACTACTATGTGTTTGACTGATTTCCTAATAATAATGTCATCAGGGTGGGACAGTGTTTGCACCAGTGTCAGTGGATCCATTTCAGTTGCCCAACAACCTCCAATTAAAAATGTTCTAACCTAAATATTCTACAAGCTTTGGTGTGCGGCATTTTCAAAACAACAGGACCTTCAAGTATAACCAAAGAGTGGCAATTGGTCATCAAGAAACTATTCCTGCGTGAGTATTCAGAAAAAAACCTGCCCAGTCTCACAGACAGGCAGGCGTTCATATCAGAAGGGACTTTTTCAAGCCCTTCTCTTTCAAACAGTTGTAGTCATGCAACCCAGGGCTGAGCCAGTTCAACCTTAATTAGCCAAATTGCATTGATGATACTGCCTGGCACATCATGGTCAGAGCCCGAGGGAATCACACCCACAGCTGCAGCCACTAAAAGAAGGTAGAGATGTGGGCAGCTACTTGCTTTCCATCACTTAAAGGCAGGGGGCAACAAAGGATGTCCGTGCTCAGAGCTACAGTTCTGAACTTTGCAGCCTGAAAGCCAGGGTCCCTGTTTAATTAACTCGCTTTGTTCCCTTCTTAAAGTCAGCCACGGAATGTGCACAGAGCTACGCCCATTTGAGGAATGGTACTAAAGCTATGATAAGTTTTTGCACTTGAAGATAATTGGTCTGTCTTAGCCAGGTGGAAGTGAATAGGAAAGATAGATAGAATAAATAAAAGCTAGAATAGATAAGTTCATGGAGGATAGGTCCATCAATGGCTATTAGCCAGGATGGGCAGAGATGGTGTCCCTAGCTTCTGTTTGCCAGAAGCTGGGAACAGATGACAGAGGATGGATCACTTGATTATTACCTAGTCTGTTCATTCCCTCTGGGGCACCTGGCATTGGCCACTGTCGGAAGACACGATAGCGGGCTAGATGGATCTTTGATCTGACCCAGTATGGCCGTTCTTATGGGCTTAAATGCCTGTCATCCTCCAATCACAGCCCTTATTAACCCTGCTCTGCAGACTGATGATGACTCTTTTTCTTTCTACAGAATTCTCCAAGGCTCAGAATCTCACCGTGAGATGTAAATTGCAAGGGGGTCATTGTTTCTTTGGGAGTTGTCCTTCTAACCGGAGACGCATTGGAAGATGCTCTCCAAATGGGTACTTTTGCTGTCAAAGGTAAGTTTAGCATTCCAAGGCAGACATTGCAGTGTGAACAGAAATACCTGTTTAATACTCTTGGAGCCTCCACACACATGGCCCAGCCCAGAGGCTAAGGAGGCTTCAAGCCACATCTGTGCTTCCCACATTCTAGGCCACGTGGGGACTGGAGTGGACCCAACATGTATGAGAACCACTCCTCTGGCTGCTCTTACTTACAACTGCCTTACCCAGGCTGCCTGTGAGATACTCCACAGCTTGGAGCAGATTCTCTGCAGTGCTCAGTGCTACAGGGATTGCCCCCAGAGACTTGAGAGCCTCCACCAACGTCTCCAGCACCACCCCAGCTCCAGTGTTTGCAACAGGAACTTATTATGGCAGCCGTGTGCTGCTCACACTTTGGGAGAATCCCCCCAAGTTCCTTTATGGTCCTTTTACAGCCTCCATATGCTTCCGAAGCTTCATATATGGGCAGGGCCTGGGCCCCAAACACCCCAATGTCCACCTGGCTTTTATATTTTGAAATAGGGAAATCAAGTAGGAAAAACAAAGTCTGGAGGAGTGAGTGCAGAGGCTCAATCTGCTCCGTATCAGTCTGCAGGGGAAGTGAATGCAACAATTAGAAATAAAACAATATCTGCAACAAATGGGAAACAAGGGATTTAGATAATCCAAATCTATCCAAATCAAGTCAATCTAAAATTAGAAGTGATGAAGTTTAGCTATATGAAAGGGGAAGCTAAGGACATCAGGGAAGAATGCATGGCTCACGGTGCTAAGGACAAGAAAGCATTTTTTAAAAATATCAGGAAAAAAAGAAATCCTAAAAATTCTACAGGCCCATTCATAGGTGGTGATAAAATTGTTAATTGTGAGGCAGAAAAGGCAGAAGTGTCCACTAAATATTTCTCTTCTGTATTTGGAAAGAAGCAGGTTGATGTACTGATATTACATGAGGATGGTGACTACTATCTATGCATTAGAAAATAAGGAGGATGTTAAAGAACATCCTCTAGGGTTAGACATTTTTAAATCAGCAGACATGAAAACTTCTATTACCATATCCTCAAAGAATTGCCTGAGGAGATCTCTCTTCCACTTATGATTTTTAATAAATTCTGGAATGTTGGGGAGATTCCAGAAGACTAGAAGAGAGTTAATGTTCTGCCAATAGGTAACAAGGGCAGGTAGGATGACCTGGGTAATGATAGGCCACTTAGCCTGACAGGGACTTACCACAGCACAAGGTTCTGATTAGAAACCTAGCACCATAGAACCTCATTAAAGCACACATATAATAGCATATACAACCTAAAATAGTTGTCAATGGGGAATCATCATCGTATGTGGGCATCTCCAATGACTTCATTCAAGTGTATAAGTACATTCACAGGGAGATAATACCAGGTTCTCAAGGACTCTTTAATTTAGCAGAGAAGGCAGAACAAAAACCAGTGGCTGAAAGCTGATGCCAGAGAATTTTAAGTTAGAAATAAGATTAACATTTTAACAGTGAGGGTGACTAACCATTGGAACAAACTGCCAAAGGAAATGATGTATTCTCCATCTCTTGGTGTTTTCAAATCAAGTCTGGATGCCTTTGTGGAAGATAATCCAGTTATACAAGTTACTGGGCTCAATACAGGGGTAACTCGGGGAAAGTCTATGGCAGGAGGTCAGACTAGATAATCAAATGGTCCCTTCTGGCCTTAAAACCTGTGAAATTCTGGGAACAAAAGGGCTGCTGTCTGCAGAGACTCAATATTTATAAGACTTTAAAACTAGAAAGCTACAGCTTGATGACAAAGAAAAGCCTGCCAAGCCAGTGTGAAAAATATTCGAGTGGAAACTAACAAACTCATTAAAATTGCAGACAGACTAGCACAGTGCAGCATTTCACTGGACTTTCTTACCGTGTATGTGGGTCCAGAGGCTGCAAATGCTAAAGCACATGAGGAGCTGCATTAAGAGTTGCTCATGAGTGTCAGCTTGTAGATTGGGGGTGATGTAGAACACAGAAGGGTGCTAGGCGCTATCTTGCTCAACAGATTGGGGATTAAAGCAGAAACCTCTCGAGCAAAGCACAAGTCTCTACAGCTTGAGCTACGGGGCCAGGCTCTCTAGCTGGGGATGTTACCAATTCTCCTTCTCTGTAGCTCAGGCACATAGGTACAGCTAACACACACTGACCAGTGGGTGACACCTGCATGTAATCAGAAGTGCTCACTCTTCAGTGTAATTAAATCAGCACCAATCCACCAAGGATTTAAAGCCATTTAAGAGCTGATGAATCCTTCAGTCCTTACAGCAGCTATGTACAGACATCCCCCCTTTTTGAAGCCTGAGGACAGTATTATAAAAATCTTGGTGACATCAATGTGAGCACTATTCAGTAGGTTTTTAATGTTTTAAATATCAAGGTTCCCATGGAATGTTAGCTTGGCCACATTCCATATCTCTGGAGGCCTTTCTATTCCTGCTCTGCCTGATTCACACAGTATCTGTCATAAACTATACACGATGCCCAGCATGGTCAAATTAATTTTGCAGCAGGGCAGGTCCCAGAGAAGCACTTTGGAGGGTGAGAGATTTTTCCCACCTACTAAAGATGGAGGACGAGGGCAGGAGATATGAGGCTGGGAGACCCTTAGGGTTGCAGACTGAGAGCCAGGGAACTTGGCCAGAGTGGTCATGCCAGCAGCTGCTTGTATGCAACTGCCACCCAAATGGTGTCACCCTTCAGAGAGAATTGGATTTTCCCTTCATTCTTTAAAAGTAAGTGATTTATCACCTATGTAATTATGTGTCATTTTAGCTTCAGCTGTGTTCAGGGTTTGTGTGGTATAACAACTGTACCTGGATGTGCGTCATAGTTTTCTGCATGGTAGTTTTTTATAGGCAGCCAGTGCACCTGTTTAGATACAAACGACTATTCACCTTAAAACTCTGTAATAGAATGTTGCAGTAGAGAAAATGAATTCCCTGCGCCGGAGTTAACCAACAACCTCTAACCTCTTCACCCACCACAGAGTGACTGGGCAATTCTTCCTTTTGATTTGAAATCAAACTTCATATTAGCCTTGTTCTATGGAAAAACATCCACAAATCTGAATCTCTTTTCTTTGTACAGGCGACTTATTGACTGATTGTCTAAGCAGGATCTCCGGGAATGTGGGAGACAGCCACTTGCTTCTAAAATCATCAGATCCTGCTTCAATGGAACCCTGAAGTGCTGTTTATTTGGGCTGTAAAGAACCTAGTGAGCTGAAGAAATTCCAGAAGGGAGCTTTGTATCACCATATAAGTTTTGTTCCTCTCCTTTTAATAAAAGCAAGTTGGTTTGAGGTAATCTTGCTGAAGTGTGTGCGTGTTGGTGGGAGGCAAGGGGGCTGTTTCTATCATTTGTCTCCTTGAGAAAGCCATTTAGTTATTTTTTTTAAATTAAAAACATCCTAAAAACATCCCTATAACATGTTAGTTCAACACCTGGGTGTTTGCAGACCATGGTCCATGCATCTCTGTAGGTTTCAATGGGCTCCTATGGGTTGCTCTCTATTTCTTCTAATTCTTATAAATCCTTTCACTTTGTGGTGTCAGAGGGGCTAGGTTCAGTCAAAGCTTGATTGTAGGGTGGAGCTCGCTGGCACCTAGACCTTCTCCCCACCTCTGTTCCAAAACCTTATCTTGTACATTGAGGAGAAAAGGGAAATCAGGCTAAACTGCATTCAGGTCTCATGCCTGATTCACTTCCCTGTTACACTAACTGCTGTAAATCAGGAGTGACACCACTGAAGACATCATAGTTACACTAGCATAAAACTGGTGTAATTCACATCAGAATCAAGCACAACATTGTCCATAAAAAGATTGTCCAAAAGGTAAAGGCTTCTGCTGTTTCAATTGGTTACATGATAGCCCACAATTCATTTCTGATCCCATCTTCAAGTTTCCCTGAAACTCACCTCTGCCATGGACCATAGATCAGAAATCTCAAGCAGATTTTTTAAGAACATAAGAATTTAACCCTTTAGATGTGCGGGAATTACATTTTGAAAATTGATCACAGCATTAATTTGTCTGAGACTGTTGCCATTCTGTGGTTGTCTACATTGTTCTGTCCCTAAAATCCAGTAGGCTGAGCTGTGAGACAGCACGTTCCCACTTGAAGGATGATGCTCAACTAGAGGGAGCATCTTTCTGATGCTGCTGTCGTGGGGTGGTTGAGAGTCAGGAGTGCCAGTGAAAGACACTTTGAAAAGGTTGCTAGATCATGGGTGATGAGCCCTTGACCTGTCCCCTCCCAAACCGTGCAGAGCTGATCAACTCTGGCGTCCGTGTATGGGTGTCTTTAGACTGGGGCTTGAGGTGTAATTTCCAGCTCAGGTAGATGCACCTGTACTAGTTCTGCTTCAGCTAGTGCACAAAAAGTAGAAATGTAGCTGTGGCAGCACTAGCGATGGAACTGGCTGGCCAGCTGGTGTGTGATCCCTTCTGAAACCCTACACACATACTCAGGGTGGCTCGACAAAGTTACATCTCTGCCTCCAGTGTAGTCATTCACTTACAGACACTGGCATTAGGAGGAGGTGGGGATCGGGTTGAGAGGATTTGAGCAGCTAGGAGTGATTGAAGCTGTTCTAAGGAGTGTTCGATAGCTCAGGAGGTGGGGTCTAACTCCAGAGGGTGCTCAGAGGCTGTGGGCATGTCAGGTTGAAATTGACTTCTTCTTCAGGTTACATCTTGCTGGCTTGAGGGCTTTAGAGCAACTCCATGAATTCTACCCCATGCCAAACTCAGTGGGTACATTATCTAGGAAGCTTTCTTGTGTGAGCTGATGTGTATCTTGCCAGACACACCTCTATCTCCTCCACCCACCACAACACACGTGTACAAGTTTCAGCGATGTGATCTTAAACCAACTTCCTTTATTAAAAGGAGAGTAACAAATCCCCTATGGATGATGCAAGGGACTCTTTTGCGAATTTCTCCAGCTCACTAATTTCTCTGCCACCCAAATAAACAATGCTTCTGACTTCCATTGAAGCAGGAGTCAGTGATTTTAGAAGTGAGTGTGTCTTCCAGATTCCCAGGCATCCTGCCAGGACAATTAGCCATGCCTTCATCTGTAGAAAGAAAAGAGACACTCAGAGATTTTGTGGACATCCATAAGAAGGGGATAATAAATCATTTGATAACAAATGCAAAACAGAACAGGAATTGCCCAATCCCTGGTTGCTGAGTGCAGATATTGCTGGTTAACTTCAGAGCAGGGAATTCAATTTCCCAACAGCATCCTTCAAAATTCCATTAAAAATTCAGTTGAAATTTGAAATTACATATGAAAATTATGACAAAAAGTACACTGTAGAAGAACCAGAGGAGTAGCCATGTTAGTCTGGATCTGTAAAAAGCAACAAAGAGTCCTGTGGCACCTTATAGACTAACAACTGTTAGTCTATAAGGTGCCACAGGACTCTGTTGCTGTAGAAGAACAACACCCCCATCCCCATACAGTTGTTCTATCAGACACACCTTTGTCCATAGGTGGAGATAAAATGAAAAATACACATTTAGGTCATGAATAAGTAACTGTGAGAGAAAGCCCGGAAACTCCAATTCTGTCTCAAGACCGACCCTATTTTTGAGACAGTTCTATGCTAGGAGCCCTGCCTGGTGATAGCACAGGGCATGCTCAGTGAATTGTCCAGGAGAGCAACCCTGCAGCTGGTAGCATGGTCACTCTACCCTAGGTCCCTGGCTCCCACGCTCCGGGACCAAGGTGCTCTCAGCTTTATAACACTTGCCACAAGCTGCTGCTCTGGTATTTCAGTGGGTGGAAAAATCTCTCACCCTCCCAACTGCTTCTCTGGGACCTGTCTCTGCTGTAGCATTAATTTGACCTTGCTGGGTGTCCTCTGTGGCCGTTGGAATATCCAGCAGGTAACAAGAGAATGACAATGTTCAGCCATTGGCCAGGAAAGAGATTGAGAATGACTCTGTAGCTTGGTGGTTCGGACACTCACCTGAGAGTAGAGCAGCTCAAGATCCAGTCCCTGCTCCAATGGCTAGTCAATTATTTATAAAAAGTAGGAAAACTTCAACAGAGCCCCATCCTAACATCATGCTATGGCTAGGGCACTTCCTGCAGTGCAGGAAGCCCAAGGTCAAATCCCTTCTCTACATCAGGCAGTGAGAGAATTGAACCTGGGCTTGCCACATCCCCAGTGAGACCCTGAGCTAAAGGCTGTGGAGGGCAAGAGCACTGTCTCCCTTCCTCATCAGGCCATTTTGTGACAGGCATCTAATTCCCCCTCAAAACAACAACAAAAGTTGGCCAAAGTATTTGTGTCAAATTCATGAATAGTTTCGGGTTGACCAAAAGTGACTTTTTTGGCGAACAAACTATTCGTCCAAAAATATTTTGCCCAGCTCTCCTTCTGTGCTGATCCAGTGAGGGTGTGAGCCTGTTAGAGTTGCCTCAAAGAACTGGGCTCCTTCCCTCAATCTGTAGAAGCTCCTGCATTTTACTTTGGAGGTCCCTGCTTCCAGTGGGTGAGGAAGACAGCTGTGGTCACACATTTTGTAAAACAGCACTCCAAACCCGCAAACTCTTACACAAGAGAGATGCAAACACCATTTTGCTTCTTTAGAGATAGAGAACAGAAATATTAACTGAATACTTCTGCCTTTTCTCCGTCATTATTATTATTTTACCTTCTCCATGGGCCTGTACCATTGTTGGAATCGCTTCCTGAAATACTTAAAAAACTCCTTGTTGTCCTTGGCCCTGCCAGCCATGGAGTTTTCCCCAATGGCCTTAGCTTCCTTTATCATATTTCTGCACTTCATTGCTTCTAATTTATATTGAGGGCTACTTACTTCCCCTGTTTCCCCTTTGTTTTCTTTTTTTTATTATTTTAATGTTGACTTAATTTCTCATGCAGATACATACACAGGAGACAAACACCTCACATACTATCCAGGACTTTACTTTTGTTCTTCCTGGTTGATTTCCCTATGCTAAAATGAAAAAAAAACAATGCAGACAATGGGTTGTTTCTGGCCCCAATCCCTGTCCAAATATGCTGCTCTGACAATATGGGAGATGTCAAAGGACCACAAGGGGTTTGAGGAGAATGCTCCCGAAACATGAGTAGCACACGGCTGCCATAATTGGTCTACACTGTTCTTTCAGCAGGCATTGGTGTTGGGATGGTGCTGAAGAGATTGCTGCAGGTGTAAGGGAGCAACCTCTGTAGCAATGAGCACTGCAGAGAATCTGGGCTACTCCAGGCTGTGAATTACCCCATAGGCAGGCAGTAAGGCAGTTGTAAGTAGGAGCAGCCACTGGGATGGGTCTAAGATCTGCTGGAGCTACTCCAGCCCCCAGGCAGTCCAGAATCCGGGCATCACAGAAGTACCGAAAAGCTTCCTTTGCTGTCTGTTCCTGGGTAGAGCCATATGTACCGAACCTCCAGGAGCACTGAACAATGGCTTGGATATAAGAAGGAGACGAAGGAGTATTTCTGTTCACACTGCAATGTCTGCCTTGGGGAACGCTGAGCTCATCTGAAACAACCAACATCCGCTACAAAGCATAGTGCAGATTTTATAAAATTGAGGGTGACATAGCAGAGTGTAACCGCAAGGTGTCTACGTTATGCTCTGTTGCCCTGAGTCCAGGAGCATCGTGTACAAATAGACTCTTCATTATCATTCAGCTGGGCAGGGTAAAGAAGAGCTGTGATTTTTTTCTTTAACTGGAGATAGCTGTGTTTTCACAAAACTATCCCCAAACCACAGAGGGGATCCCAAACCTTAAACTGATACATTTCTGTACATACCGTCCTGACCGCCGATAATGGCATTTCCAAAAGTGAAGCCGAGCATGCAGATGTGGCAGAGTCTTTCTGAGAAAAAATGGGGGGCCAATACAGTGAGCTGAGGGTTTGCCATTTTACAGATTGGGTCCTATTCCCACCTGGGTAAACTATCAGTGGGGAATGAGGCCTGGCTTTATCATTCGAGTTGTGGAGGCCAGGGAACAGAATAATTAACACTAGTCAGCAGAAGAAGATACATTTTAAGTCATGGTCTCCTGGCTCCCAGCCGAGTGTACCTTCCCCGGGACTTGGCCTGACTTCATTTTGTCTGTGTCCCATTTGGATGTTCTGTTCTGTGTGGCCTGTGATATGAAGAGCATGTGCAGTGCAGATAGAATGTCGGGTGGTTTAAGCAGCAAGCCGTAGCAAGATCCAGTGAGGAAAACACCAAGGGGAAATGGTGACGTGTCCAAATTCAATCTAATCTGAATGGATTTTCAGGAAGGTAGCAGAGTCACCTCCCTGA